ATTTACACAATACAGGGGTAAAACCTCAAAAAATGTTTTTGATACCTTACGTAAATGCACAGGGTTACCCACAAATGATGAGACTATGAGAAAACGGAATTAACCAATTTCCTACAATCGTAAAGTGCTAACCAGAAAACTGTAGAATAGAAAGACGACATTAAAACAATACTGAAGTGCATTTGATGTTGTTATAAAGTAAATAGCTTTACTTGTAAGTTATCAAATCACTTAAGAAGTAAAATGGGTCTGCTTAATTTGCACAATTGCCGGGCCTAATGTTCACTGGGCTATTTAAAGTCATAACTTGAGTCAAAAAATCGACTTCCCGTTACAATGCGTTCTGGTTATCACTGTATATGAAGTCTCATCCATTGTGGGTAACCTTGTTTGTGTGTTATTTAAACCATGTATTTTAATATTGTTGCCTTTTCTTCAAAGTGCAGTGGATAAGGCAGAAATAAACCTCGGAATAAATAAATTTAAACAATAGGTCAATTATTTTAAAAATCTAACTTAGGTGCATGCATAATGCATTCTTGCACACTCACAAACCCATTCATAGGTCAAATATGGTCTCAGCAAATAAAGAGAGAAAACATAAACAAAGCTTTAAATAGCAACCTCGTTAAACATAGCTATCATGAGAATGAATGAGCTATGAATAGGATTTTGAATATACTAAGCTATGGATAGGACCCTGAGTAAACTAAGCTATGGATAGGACCCTGAGTAAACCAAGCTATAGATAGAACCTGGAGTAAACCAAGCTATGGAAAGGATCCTGAGTAAACTAACCTATAGATTGAACCTGGAGTAAACCAAGCTTTAGAGAGAACCTGGAGTAAACCAAGCCATTGATAAAGGACCCTGAGTAAACCAAGCTATGGAAAGGATCCTGATTAAACTAAACTGTATATTGAACCTGGAGTAAACCAAGCTATAGAGAGAACCTGGAGTAAACCAAGCCATTGATATAGGACCCTGAGTAAACCAAGCTATAGAGAGAACCTGGAGTAAACCAAGCCATTGATATAGGACCCTGAGTAAACCAAGCTATGGAAAGGACCCTGAGTAAACTAACCTATAGATTGAACCTGGAGTAAACAAAGCTATAGAGAGAGAACCTAGAGTACACCAAGCCTTTGATATAGGACCCTGAGTAAACCCCTGAATATACCAAGCTATAAATGAACCCGGAGTAAACCAAGCTATGGAAAGGACCCTGAGTAAACTAATCTATAGATAAAACCTGAGCAAATCAGGCTATGGATAAGATCCTGAGTAAACTAAGCTATGGATAGGGCTCTGCGTAAACCAAGCTATGAATAGGGCTCTGAATAAAACAAGCTATGGATAGGGCCCGGAGTTAACCAAGCTATAAATAGAACCCGGAGAAAATTAAGTTATGAATAGTACACGGAGTAAAGCAAGATATGGATTGGACCCGGAGTAAACCAAGCTATGGATAGAAGCCGGAGTAAACCAAACTAGGTCTAAGATTTCGGTAGGAACCAGAGTCTATCTATCTATCTCTTCATCTTGTGTCATGCATTCAACCTTCCTTGAAATGATTTTGTATGAATAAGGTTGAATTGGCGATGACAGTTTGTTTGATTGAAACCTTTCTATTTCTTTTCTTGAGTAACCCACTAGGAAATAATGAACAGCAAGCATTCTTCTAACAATATTTAACAAAGGGAACTACTCGCATATAATTATAATTTTAATCTCTTTATACTTTCGATAGGACTATTCTAACTAACCTAATTTCAAACATCAAACGTGTATAAGAGAACAGGTTTTATTGATAAAATACTGAAACAATTCGAGTTTAAGGAGAACAATCAGTTAAGCTGTTACCTAAAAGTAATAGGGGTTCCAACGTAATAAATTATTTACTTACGCGAAATTACGTGCAGTTATGCGAAATAATTTTCATTTCGTGTAATTTCGCAGAATTTCGCGTAATTGGCGAAACTTCAATTTCGCGAAATTACGGCGTAATTTTGCGTAATTTTTACAACGTAATTTCGGGAAATTTTGCATTATACCAAACCAGCGAAACATTCATACACACCAGCCTACAGGAGAACATTTTGACCCTCCTGGACAGTGGACATGAACTCTACCATCTAAAAGTTAGCGTTCTAGAGAAGGGTTGAGACCTTATGAGAAGTTTACTTTAAACGATAATCTAAGTACATCAGAGATTTTTGACTGATATCACAGGAATGAACAGAATTTTTTTTTTTTTTTTAATTGTAAACGTGTAATTCAGTATTTAAAAAAAAATAAAAGAGTATTTTTAATTTCCAATTCTTTTAAAGGTTTAAATACCCCTCCTTAGACAACCGCCCCTGATTTACGTAACCACCACTTTAAACACTGTACATATAAACTAGTTAGTTTTTAATCTTCATTTGGCAAAAACAATCTCAAGGAATAATGATTTTCTTAAAACATTCTTTAAAAAGTGAATATTAGCAAATTATCTTTTTTCCGCCTCATGATCTAAGTTCGTTTCAGTTTTTTCCATTTGACAGCCCATTTATTTTTTTGTTAAATAATCTTTTTTGGCTGTTTATTTTCTTGTGGTTCTTAACATCGATTTTGATGGTTATTATATCGCTAGAACTCTTAGAACTAACAAGCATGTCAACCTAGACCGAAATATATTTTCAATTAAATGTGGAACTAACATCTACTTTTTTTTCTCTACAGAGGTTTGGTCCATCACCATCACCGAATTTTAATTCAATTTAAAAGTATTTAAATTATCCATTCAAATTGGACATGGTTGTATCGCACATATCCTTACACATATTTTCCTGCCATATTCATTTCTCAGAATTAACATGTACTTTACTAATAACGGAATGGTTACGTTTTACGTAATTGCGCGTAATTACGCTTTTATTACGCAAACTAAACTTTCTTTCGTATACGTAATTAGCACTAAATTTTACGTAATGCTCCTACGTAAGTGATACGCGTAATTACGACTGGTTAGTAACTATTATGCTTTAGATTAAACCCCTGTGCGTGTGCGAAATCAATGAATTAAAGATCTATTCTATAAATGTGTATTCTATTTATTGATTAAATCCTTATTACAAATAAAAAAAACAATGCAATTAATTCTTGATTAAACACGACTTAAAACTTGATTTCTTTATGTAAATTACTAGGATTTCATGTTTGACCGCTTCATTTTACCTTCCCTATCCCAGGAGAGCTTTGTGAAAACAGCTCTAAGTTATCAAAGCTCTCTGTTATGATTTATTATTACTGCAGATAAGAAATTATTTGATTTGAATTGAAATAAAATCGCTCTCTTTGCATCAAAATACAACCTGTGAAATGTTTGTCCTGTTTAAACCCATCAACTAAAGAAAATGTGAATGTGAATGCTTCAACTTTTAATTTTTCAAGAGTAAACGTCTCAAATAAAGTCCTGCAAATCACTGACAAAAAAACTTTACTTTGCTTACAGTAGCTATAGGGTTCCAGCAAAAAGGATTTTTTTTTCGAAAATTTGTTTGCCATTTTTGACAAAAATTTCGCTTTTTAAGCTAAAAAACGAATGCAAAAATTTCGCGAAAAAAATCATCTCCATCAAACATTTATTATAGTAAAGAAAGAGAAATTATTAATTATTATAAAATAAAACTTCTAATGCTGAGCTATCAGTGCAGAGAATTATAAACACAAGTTTTTTTGCGAAATCAATTGTTGCAGCATTTATGGTTTTCGCGAAATTTTTTTTTCTCGCGAAATTTCAAGAAAAAGTTTGCGAAATGCGAACGAAGATTATGCATGAAATCATACATTTTACAAAAATCCTAATTTTACTTATTGATGAAAGCCAAACTCTGGATTTTACTGATAGGTTTCCCCTGTTTTTATATATAGGACTATCCCGTTTTTATTTATAGGACTATCCCCTGTCTTTAAATATAGGACTATCCCTGTTTTTATTTATAGGACTATCCCTGTTTTTATATATAGGACTATCCCCTGTTTTTAAATATATGACTATCCCTGTTTTTATATATAGGACTATCCTCTGTTTTTATATATAGGACTATCCCCTGTTTTTATACATAGGACTATCCCCTATAAAGAGTATCGGGCAATGCACGCTTCCATCATTACATTTGTTTGGTTGCAAAATATGTGTCATCCGTTGTCCTTAAATTTAGATAAAAAAGACGACATCCTCTGCCAAAACGGATAATATGGTGGGTATATGCCCCCTTTCTTATATTACCCTGTTTATATATCTAATATCTATGGAGTATACATAATTTGAACTGTCGATAGTGTTAAACTAATTGATGAATATATCCATTCATCTCTTTATACAAATATCATCTCCATCCTAACTCATATATTTGATGAATATATCCATCCATCTCTCTATACAAATATCATCTCCATCCTAACTCATATATTTGTGTTAACAGACTAAATGGTTTTTAGTTTAATTAGAAATTTTGGACGGTTTTTCATAAGTCAAAACTGTTTTTGTTAACTTTTGTTAATCATGAAATCAAAACACGCTCTGCGGTTTACATCATAGTATCGTTTGTGAATTTCCTGTACGTAAGCACACGGAACAAAACAGAAATCCTTGAATTCAAAACTTTAAATTGTCAGATATAGACTTCATTAAAGTTCCCAGCGTTGCACGTGAAATATAAAAACACTGCAAAAATTTTGAAAAAAATATAATTTGTTAGCCTCTGTCACCCTCATGCAAGGTACATTCCAGTTAATTTCATGTACCGTGCTGAATTTCAACTAGCCAGGGCCGGCAAACAGTACAGTACAAATACAGACTTTATAGAGGCAAAACGGGACTGTACGCCAAATGAATGATCCCCTTCTAGTGAAATTTTGTGCCCAGAGTACCCATGGGTTCCTAAAAAAATGTCAGCTTATTTGGTCTGCAGTCGTTTAGCCAGCTATTGCTAACATACATGTATAATATATAAAATATAAGCAATTGAGCTTTATTTACAGATGGGTTCTTAATTTGGATAGCAATATCAAACAAAGACATCTAATTCATTTTACACATTTATATATATGTGAAATATAATTATATACACATTTACATGGATAAATACTTTTGTGATATAATGGTTTTAAAGAGTTCAGCCCAAGTTCAACCTTTATATAGACACAATATACTATAACATCACATTTACATATCATGCTTTTGAGAATTAATACATTTTTTTCTTGAAATAAATAAGCAAATTCATTCTGGTTTTACAGATACCTTTAACAAGCATTTTTAATAAAAAAGCAAAGGAACCTTTTTGGGCCAATCAGTTAGGTTATCATTGATATTTGGAAATATCAAACAGCATACAATTTCATGTTGCAAAAATCATGGTTTGAGGCGAGTACTCCATTCAATTTTTCATAAAAAAATGTACACAATTTATAACGTCAAAAGTTCCCAATACGCATAATGCTGAACTCTAATATTATAACAAAAAATCTAAGAAACACAATAGTCTAATCGGCGTAGGATAAAATACGTTTTTACCTTATACTTTTTAAATCAAATACAGGGTGTCCCACGAAACATGACCGTTGGTTTATAGTTTTAAATGTCTTTTTGCAGTTTATTTCGTTAAAAAAAAATCTTTTGCTAAAATATATTTTACTTTGAAATCAATTTTAATATAGTATGCCTCCCATAAGATTTTATTAGTCTTTTGGGTATCAAACAACTTAACAAATTGGTGAAGAAGACATTCTAAACTGTTCAACATCTGTCATGTTTCGTGGGACACCGCGTACATTTTTATCCCGTAATAAATGAACAAGGAAATCTAATGTTAATCTTGATTTTAGGTTTGTCTTAAAATCTTAAAAAACATATAAATTGTAATTTTGACAATTTTCCTTTTATTTGTAAATACATATTGACATTTGGACAAATATTTTTCCTCTCAATAGTTGTGAAGCTTCATCAAAACGCGCAAACTTTATTTTTGAAATCCTAGGAATAACGAAAATGCAGATCATTATATTTCCAATATTTTCACAAAACTTAATTGAGACAAAATGTATTTGATATTTATACTTAATATTCAAATTTTTGATTTTTCCTGAAACAGATTTGATTTGGCAAAACTTGCACAGGTTTGAATTTGCAAAAACTGCAAACATTCGCCAAAACGTAAACTTAGAATTCTTTATTCCTCAGATTGTTTTTCTTCTTCAATTATATCTCCCATCTATAAAAAAAAGTATTAAAGGGCATTATTTACATATTTGATTATGCAGTAAGCATGACCACTATATTCATCATTTATATTTGTCTAAAGCATAGTTACATAAAAATATAAACGTTTACAAATTACAACTAATGAACAGACACATCCATAGCTGTTATATTTGTGAGAAAATGTTCATATATTTATTCATCTTGGCATTTTGGATATTCATTTCCATTGGGACAAACAATATCCATTTGGCATTTATCGATGATTACTAGATCTAGTTTATTTGCGGGGGGGGGGNGGGACAGTTACAGGGTATGGAAGGGGATGTCGGAATACATCCAATATGTTGCTCATTATCAATTAATCCAGTGGTATATTCAATAAGATTGTTGAGCCTCCAAGTGTATCTTTTATGATTTGATTATTCACGGTAAACCTTACACACACTCTTTTAGTACAGACACACAACATGACTACAGTCAAGGAAATTGCAGAACAATGTTATCAATATAATTAAGCTTGAATAACGATAAGTTTATTGTAAACTTTAATCAAATTATATTCTTTGCATGAAAATTTGGCTTGTATACTAAGCTTATTTTTAAGTAAACAATTACAATAAACAAATGTACGTACTCTCCTAGACTGAACAAATACCGAGATTCGTATGTACTGTATAATATACCTACAGAGTACTCGCCTTCGGTTCGGTTAACTTTACACACACTATTTTTGTACAGACACACGTCTCCATGACGTTTCCGCCTGGTTTCCGCCACCTGGCAATAAACCTTCCCTTGGAGTCATGTGATGTGAGTTGCTTAAAAAAGTTTAGGAATAATCGATTCAGCTGTTTCGTACATAGATATAATCTAAAAAGTAAATACGTTTATAAAGTGGTTAATCGTTTTCAACTCTCTAGTCTTTACAAGCTCATTAGCTTTTCAGATAAATACGTTTATAAAGTGGTTAATCGTTTTCAACTCTCTAGTCTTTACAAGCTCATTAGCTTTTCAGATAAATACGTTTATAAAGTGGTTAATCGTTTTCAACTCTCTAGTCTTTACAAGCTCATTAGCTTTTCAGATAAATACGTTTATAAAGTAGTTAATCGTTTTCAACTCTGCAAACTTAAGGAATTACCAAGGATAAAAGTTATCTTTTTTCATCAAAACTCTTGCATTGAGTTCCATGAATGTTTTTACAGGGTTACCTACAAAGGATGAGACTTTAATAACGATCTGAAAAAAAAAAACAATCTAAAGGTTGAAATTGATATTACACATTAAATACAGTCTTTCAGTGGTATACTAATTAGTATCTATGAATGAGTTAACCTTGTTATTGCAATATTATTACAATCCCGTGAAAGAAAGTACAGGATTACCCACGAAGGACGAGACTGTAAAGACGATCTCAAGATTAAATTGAGACTTCTGCCTTGCATTTAATCTTTAGGATATTTGATGATTTCACAAAAAAAGGAGCAATGTAACAGCTGTAAACAGGAATCATGAATTTAAGGAAACAGACAGGATACATTTTACAGATTCGTCTTTGAAGGCTCATCCTTTGTAGGAAACTCTGTATATTGGAAACCATCTCACCATAAGTGTTTGTATATCTGGAAGAGCAGTACTGGATACCTTGGACCTTAATAATCATACAGCTTAAACTAAACACTGAATGATTGAAGTCTTCTTTATATCTTTAAATTAGAAAAGGACGCTAAGGATTTTGTAGTTTGCCACAAATTGTACTTCCCAAAAACTTATAAGATTGCATCCTGATGTCGAAGACCTTTGATATTTTAAAACACCATAAGGTTCCAAAGATGTAAAGATTAGAAAGCTTGGATTTGTGATGAGTAGTTAGTGCTTTAGAATATTAAAAATGTACCCACAAAACAAAACAGGGATCAAATTTAATAAAAAGCAAGAAGCAGTTGATCTACGTAAATAAGTTTAACAACTTCTCTTAAACTTCCACGTGTGTACAAAAAAAGTGGTTCAAGCTAGTCTACCTATTTAACCCACTTCTCTCGAATTTCAGCATGGTATATAGAATAAAAGTGGTTCATCTTAGTCTACCTAGTTGAACCACTTCTCTTGAACTTTAACATAAGTAGAATAAAAGTGGTTCAACTTAGTCTAACTAGTTGAACCACTTCTCTTGAACTTTAACATTAGTAGAATAACAGTGGTTCAACTTAGTCTACCTAGTTGAACCACTTCTCTTGAACTTCATTATGAGTAGAATAAAAGTGGTTCAACTTAGTCTACCTAGTTTAATCACTTCTCTTGAACTTCAACATGGGTAGAATAAAAGTGGTTCAACTTAGTCTACCTAGTTGAACCACTTCTCTTGAACTTCAACATGAGTAGAATAAAAGTGGTTCAACTTACTCTACCTAGTTGAACCACTTCTCTTGAACTTCAATATAAGTAGAATAAAAGTGGTTCAACCTTAGTCTACCTAGTTGAACCACTTCTCTTGAATTTCAACATGCGTAGAATAAAAGTGGTTCAACTTATATGATATCTAATTCGACTTAATTTTAAATTTGGTCCTAGTTTTGCCAAATCTAAATTTTAAAACCGCTAGCGCCCTTTAATATTAAAAGAAAGAACGAAAACGATACGTATTTCATTATTTTCAAATAACTACTGAATTTGTCAATTATAATTGTAAACATAATATCTATAAATATTATTAATTTACCATTTTCTGCTGTTGGAGGAGTTGGAATCACTTAAATCTTAATAAACAAACTTTTAAATATATTCCGCCATTTCTTTTCAAGTATAAACTAGACCTGTAGAAATGCATTCGTCTTGATCAAATAGTTTACTAGATTCTCTATTGAGAAGATATTTTATTAAAAAATATTTTATGGTCACCAAAACATTTAGGAAGATGGGTCAACACAACTAGAACGTTTTGATTTTGCCACTTTTTGACCAGAATTAGCTGTGCTGATTTAGCTGTAAGCTTTGTAAACCGTATTCTTTTATTCTGTTATATTCTGAACAAGGTTGTACACTCTACAGTAGAGATGTCAACGATAGTGTAACGTAACGTAAAATGTACGTTTTTGTACGTTACGTTGCAATAATGTGTAACGTTTGGATATATTCTATATAACGTGAACGTTAAACGTTCACGTTATAGGAGCTCATACCTAACGTTAACGTTAAACGTTAACGTTAGAGGAACATACCCCCAACATTAGCGTTTTGTGGAAATGTAACGTTATTTTTCTAATATCTACAATTTTTTTTACCATAACGTAAAGAAATGTTTTGTTTCCAGGGGGAGCTTGAAAGTCTAACGTTTGAAAAATTAATTGTGATTTGATTGAATATCGTAACGAAAGGATTTCTATTTCAAAGTTCAACTTATAAAAAGTGTAACGTTGTATAACTGAAAAATGCATTACTGTTTATGAAAACGTTTTGAAACGTTTTCACCTAAAGTAAAATGAAAAATTCAACGTTGCAGAAATGGGTTATTATTTTAATAATCAGGAAACAAAAGTATTTTTTACAGAGTAAATTTCAATAATGTAATGTATAACATTTAAAAAAATGTAATTCTGCAAATCAAAACGTTTCATGACTTTTCTCTAAATACTAAATTGATTAGTCTAACGTTAGATATATGTCTGATGAAAATGTTGTTCATAAAACGTTAGACTATGAGGGCTAGAGATGTCAACGTTTTGATTTTTCTAGATTTTAGCTTTCGTTACGATAGTGTCCATCAAAAGTATTAACGTTTGAAACGTTACGTTGCACATTATGAAATTTCATGGTACAGAGTAACGTTACGTAATGAATTTTTTGAACTTGAATACCTTAAACAACGTTAAGCTTTAGTAAATGTTAAACGTTTCAAAACGTTTTCATAAACAGTAATGCATTTTTCAGTTATACAACGTTACACTTTTTATAAGTTGAACTTTGAAATAGAAATCCTTTCTATTGAACTTTGGGGGTATATTCCTCTAACGTTAACGTTTAACGTTAACGTTAGGTATGAGCTCCTATAACGTGAACGTTTAACGTTCACGTTATATAGAATATATCGAAACGTTACACATTATTGTAACGCAACGAACAAAAACGTACATTTTACGTTACGTTACACTATCGTTGACATCTCTAATGAGGGCTGAGTTTTAATTTCAAAAGCGTAACAATAATTCTGTCAATCGAAACATTTCAAGTTTAAAGAAAATGAGTTTATGCCAAAAACTCTGATTTTCATTTAATATATCTTTGCAACCCGATGTCGTAGACCATTAATATTGAAATATACAAGGTTTAAACCATAGGGTTAGAAAGATATAGGAATTAGTAAATTTGAAAAAAAAACTTAGTTCCTTTCTAAAGTGTAAACTTTAAACGAGTTTTTTTGTAACATGCTATTAGTGAAAATTCAAATCTTATAAATGTTTCTTGGACGTTAAAGGTTTTTGATTTGCCATTGTTTGATGAAACCCACTAAAACTCTGGAAAAGGAAGACGGCATTAAGAAATTTTACATATGCATTTTCTGTATGCAATTGCTGGGTTTCATGCTTATTTGACTACTTGAAATCATAACTTCAGTTGGCATGGTTCATTTTTGGGTTGAAAAATTTAGAAATGTAGATACTAAAATGCAACAATATATTTACAAAAAAACTAAAAATTCGCCACAAATTATAATTTTCTAATCTCTACATCTTTGCAAGCTGGTGTTGTAGACTTTTCATATTTCAAGCTATGACTTCTGTTAGATAAGAATGTCTAAAGGAATTGAGTTGTTCACAAACTTATAATTCTAATCCCTATATCTTTGCTACCCAATGTTGTAGAAGTGTCCTAAAACATGTTTTTTTAAGCTCGTCAAATACACGATGATAATTTCAAGTGATCCTCCATTTAAATAGGGCCATATTCGATTCCCAATGATACCGTGTATACCATTATATAATGATTTGAAAATTAGGATTGTTTTCCTATCTTGTAAATGTATGCTGGACGTTGAGGGTGATTGATTTGTGACTTTTTTAAGAACTCAGCCAGCCGCCCACCTGAGGTCGCTGCGTTTTAAATTAAAAATTAAAAAAAAAATATTGCAATCAAAAAAAGCAAGTAAAAGTGTAACGTAAGGTCTCTGAAAATATTTACCTTGCATGAAAGTGGAACGTTAAAAAATTGTGGTTATATTACATAAGCTTTAACGCAACGTTGGGAAAGTTTTTTAAAACGGGAAATGCAAAAGCGTAACGGAGCTTACTGTTTTTTTTTCAAAAACATTTACTAAAGCTTAACGTTGTATAAGATATTCAAGTGCAGAAAATCCATTACGTAACGTTACTCTATGCCATACAATTTCATAATGTGCAACGTAACGTTTCAAACGTTTATACTTTTGATGAACACTATCGTAACGAAAGCTAAAATCTAGAAAAATCAAAACGTTGACATCTCTACTCTACAGTGTATACAGGAGAAACTAAAAACGAGAACGAATTAAAAGAAAGAAAGTGAATTTAAACTTGAAAGTTTTTGTGGTACATTAATAGCTAGCAAATATGTTGCAATTTAATCATTAGAAAATATAAATAAAAAATTAACATATTTCAAATTTTAATTTCTTATTTTTAAAAGTGTTTCCTAATTCTGATATATCCGTGAGTATAGAGGTAACACTAGTCTTCGGATATCTTTTTTTCTAAACAAAAAACATTTATAACAATACGGAACCATTTAGACCCATTTTTTATGTTGGTCACATAAAATTGAAAAGTTTTGCATACAAAAAATATCAACTTTAATTTTTATGAATCCATTAAAAAAACAGAAAAGCTTTACATTGTACGCCAACATGACGGCTCAAGCACAACATTTAAAATCTGATATTGATATAAGAAAAAGTGCTCTCTGAAAGCCTACTGGGATATATTTACCTTATTCTGCATAGCTTCTTTCATCATTGGTTCAGATTCATAAAGTTCCTTTAGTTCTAAACAATAAACATATATTCAGATAAAAACTATAAAGGGACTGTACACGTAATACATGTGAATCTCCAGTTAAAGATTAGCATAATGGTCCCCATTAAACCTCAAGTTTTGTTTCTCTATAAAAAGGCTTGCAGATTTATACAGCAGCCTCTAAGAAGGAAATTGATAGATTTCAATATCTTTTTCAGACACTAAGATGGATTCTAAGTATTGAAACAATATGGATTTATTATAAAGTCGCTTGCTTTGCAAATAAAAATAAATATTGTATCTAATATGAAATATTAAAATAAATATTAAAGATTGATAATTTTAAATTGTGCTCTATAAAACTGACTTGCAGATTTATGCGTTTGGGAAAATATAGAAATTTCAACACTTCTAAAAATTAAAACACGATTTAAAATTTAAGATCTTTGCAAAGCCAGGAACCAACAAAATATTTTTTAAATTTCATATGTTATCTCTGTCATGATGTACATATATTTTTAATATTATTCACATTTTTGTAAGGAGGGGGGGGGGGAGGTTCAAGTTTCTGACTTAATTTTCATGATTTTATTCAATTTTGAAAGACTTTTTTCCCCGCATTTTTACTCACAATTTCATGTGTTGGAAAAATGTGTTGGGAAAAATGCCCTTAACGATTCAGAACGTACCATGAAACCCCTCTAGCCTGATAAGGTTAACCATGCTACACAGTGCTAGGTGTGACATGCTGGAAAAAGCTTACTTAACGATTATTCCGAATGAAATTGCTCCCGAAAAAATGTTCTCGTGTGGTGGAACAGCTTCATGAAATATTCTGTAAATGTTCTCATGTGGTGGAACAGCTTCAGGAATGATTCTGTAAATGTGCCCGTGTGGTGGAACAGCTTCAGGAATGATTATGTAAATGTGCTCGTGTGGTGGAACAGCTTCAGGAAAGATTCTGTAAATGTTCTCGTGTGGTGGAACAGCTTCATGAAATATTCTGTAAATGTTCTCGTGTGGTGGAACAATTTCAGGAAAGATTCTGTAAATGTTCTTAAGTGGTGGAACAGCTTCAGGAAAGATTCTGTAAATGTTCTCAAGTGGTGGAACAGTTTCAGGAAAGATTCTGTAAATGTTCTCAAGTTGTGGAACAGTTTCAGGAAAGATTCTGTAAATGTTCGCAAGTGGTGGAATAGCTTCAGAAAAGATTCTGTAAATGTTCTCAAGTGGTAGAACAGCTTCAGGAAAGATTCTCTAAGGCCTTTACGGCTCCAAATGTCTCCGGTAAAAATTGGAAACCCTATAGTTCGCTTTATATTAAATTGGCATTTTATTTCATGGGGAGAAGGGGGGGGGAGGGGTGAGAAAAAATATATTTAAAAAATACCTATCGAACTTTCATCCTTACACCTACTGTGTTGGCGCTTATGACTGTCACGGAAATCTAAATTTAACACAAATTACGATATTTTTTAATCTAGTTCTCATTGATCATTTATATTTACTATATATGACTCAAAAATTGAAGAAAAAAATGTAAAACACATTCAATTATATTCAAAACTGAGAACAACTTTGTGATTTACAGAACTTTGTCACCAATTCAATTTTTTGTAATCTCTATATCTTTGCAACCTAAAAATGTAAACCTTAGATATTTCAAACTTAGAATATTTGATCTAACAGCATTCATAGTTTGAAATATCAAAGGTCTATGACATTGTGTTGCAAAGATATCGAAATTAGAAAACAAGGTATTTGTGTCAAAAACTCAATTCCTTCCAGTTGTCTAGATATTTATTATACAACTCTAGTGTTAACATGAATTCTTAATTGATAAACCCTGAATCAGTTAAATCAAATAAAAAAGAAACAATCATTATGAAATTATTTAAATCTGTTACTTGAAGTATGAACTTATTTAAATCTGTTACTTGAAGTATGAAATTATTTAAATCTGTTACTTGAAGAATGAAATTATTTAAATCTGTTACTTGAAGTATGAAATTATTTAAATCTGTTACTTGAAGTATGAAATTATTTAAATCTGTTACTTGAAGTATGAAATTATTTAAATCTGTTACTTGAAGAATGAAATTATTTAAATCTGTTACTTGAAGTATGAAATTATTTAAATCTGTTACTTGAAGAATGAAATTATTTAAATTTGTTACTTGAAGTATGAAATTATTTAAATCTGTTACTTGAAGTATGAAATTATTTAAATCTGTTACTTGAAGTATGAGTAATTTTGTCTTGTTATTATGCCTGTGTGTCTGCTTAACGTTTCCCTTCTAAAAGTATTTTTTTTTGTAAAAATCATTTTTACTCGACACTGATTTTTATTTTATTTTAAAGCTTCCACCTGGGTTTTAATTCCTTAAAATTTGGGATTAACGCTTAACCCTATTCCTGCTGGGGGGGGGGTCATTTTGACCCCCCCCTGTAGTTTTTTTTTACATAACTCAAAAAGTATTGGTCTGAGGCTGTTGAAATTTACTTACTTTTCCTACATATCCAAAGCCATCCCTTTAAGCCTAAAACCGGGCTTTAATACTAACTGCCCGAGTCCTCAGGCACACTGCCTGAATGACTGTTTTTTTTCTGTAACAAACTAAATCTTTGTTTTGACCCACATTCACTTGTCAGATTTTGATAAAATTTAGCTTTTTGGAAAGTCTTTGACATAAGGAAACGAATTGCACAAGTTTTGCGAAAAAAAATTGCACATTTTTTGCAAACAACCTGTCAGAGGAAATTTTCACGTTTTCAGGTTATTTAAAATTTTGCAAAAATTTTTGCAAGCTTGAAATGGTATGGTCAAGGGCTTTTCAAAAATGTATAATTTTTCCTTTTTTGGACAAAATTTTCTTTGCAAACATTTTTACTATATTACTCGATTTTGCGATAAAAAATTCAATTTTTGCAAATTTGCAATTTTTTTGCAAATTTGCAACTTTTTTGCATATTCTAAAAGCAGAGCACAAGAGCTTTCCAATGATGTATCATTTGTCATATTTGGACATCAAACATGGGATTTAGAGGGAGGGGGGTCAAATTGACCCCCCCAGCATATCCTGGTTTTCAAGTACCCCAGCAGAGATAGGGTTAATTGTACAGTCCTAAGCTGAGATTTTAAAGTCAATCGAAAGATGGGATTATTGAACAGAGCCCGCGAATTTATAATTAAGCAAATAATAAATTCAATTATTTGAATTTGTAAATTGTAATTAGTAAAGTATTAGATTGGACATTACTAAAGTCAGGTTTTACTTCTGTTTAAAGCTTTTATAGCATCTTAACTCCGACTTGAAACATTTTAGAAGTTGATCGCGACCAATATTAGTTCTAGGTCCATGTCTCGAGAAAATGATATAAAACTGTGTCTGGGTTTTACGAAAAATCATATATATTACATGTTATTGGAATCAAAGTTTAACCGGATCGAAATACAGAATCAAATCTTAAAATTACACAATAACCCAAATATAAATTTTAATAAATAAATAAATAATTTTAGGTTCGCTCCTAATATAATTTGAATATAATACTTATTCATTTCTAATATAATTGGTTTCAATCTTGCTTCGTCTGTGTCACGTGACCATAATTTCCATTGAGTCACTTGGCTCCGTCTGAACTACGTGACCAAAATTTTCATAAATTTTCATAGAAGTTTTAGCATAACTTGGAGACAGTTTTATATCAATTTCACGAGACAGAGACATCAGATAAAACTGCATTTTTTAAATTAAATTAGTTTTATAAGAATAAAGTGCATGATTCTTGCAATCTTCAGTTTTCTAAATGTAAAAAAATCATACAGGTATTTAATAATCTAACTAAATACAATGTTTTTTCCGATCAACTAACATCCTTATGAGCTTGTTCGTCTTTGTTTTTTAAAATTAAGTATTAAGTATAGGTAAAAAAGCTTGAATTTAAACATATGCCGTAACTATTTTAGATTCTAAACAACAGACAATATTTAATTTTTTTTCGATTCGGTAAAACCCACTTAAAAAAATGTAAGAGCAATATCTTGCTTTCCCGAACGTAACATCTTATGAAAGGGGTATCCCATCGTTTATCTTAAGAAAGGGGTATCCCAATGATAAACGTTAAAAGAAAGGGATGTCCCAATGGTAACCATCCTAAGAAAGTGGTGTCCCAATATTAATCTTAAGAAGGTGGTGTCCTTTAGAAAAAGGTTTCCCAATATCTACTTTAAGAAAGGGGTGTCCCAATGTTTACCTTGAGAAAGGGTTGTCCCAATGTTTATTTGAGAAGTGGTGTCCCAATGTTTATTTGAGAAGTGGTGTCCCAATGTTCGCTTTGAGAAAGGGGTGTCGCGCAATTTTGATTTCAGAAAGTGAATTCACAATGTGTACCCTGAGAAAGTGTTGTCCCATTGTTTACCTTGAGAAAGGTGTGTCCCAATCCACATTAGGGAAACATTTTTCTATTCCTGGTATTTTAGCAAACAGGTCAATAAATCCATGCTTAACCTACAACATTCATATATTGTTGCTATTAGATGTTAAATTATTGTAAAAGTAGTTGAGGTTGTTATGGTTTGTTATTGCTATTGTTATTGTGTTTGTTGCTGTTTTTGTTACTGTTTTTTTTTTCGTTGTTTTTTTTTTCGTTGTTGTTGTTGTTGTTGTTGTTGTTGTTGTTGTTGTTGTTGTTGTTGTGGTTGTGGTTGTGGTTGTTGTTGTTGTTGTTGTTGTTATTGTTGTTGTTGTTGTTGTTGTTGTTATTGTTGTTTTTGTTGTTGTTGTTGTTGTTGTTGTTGTTGTTGTTGTTGTTGTTGTTGTTACTGTTTTTTTTTTCGTTGTTTTTTTTTTCGTTGTTGTTGTTGTTGTTGTTTGTTGTTGTTGTTGTTGTTGTTGTTGTTGTTGTTTTTGTTGTTGTTTTTGTTGTTGTTGTTGTTGTTGTTGTTGTTGTATTTTACCTGTACATTCATCCAAAAGTAGATAAGAGGAGTATAGCAGGCGTGTGAAAGGGCCAGGAAGAGAAATATTGTGTGAATATAACCAAATATTTCTCTGAACAAAAACATTTTAAAAAATAAAAAAAATAGACCCTGACCTGTTGTGTGCCTTTTTTTTAATCCAAGAAACGTTCAAACGGGGGAGGGGGGAGGGGGTAGGGAACGTAAAGTTTATGAAGGAATAAAAAAAATTCCCTTTACACATTTGTTTTTGTAAAAGTTTAGATATCTACCTAATGGACGATTTCTACCTTTTAGAAACCGACTAATTCGGGGAAATGGGCGGTTATTACCTTGTAGAAACCGACCATTTCGCGAAATATCCTTTTAAGACCCACGGATTTTCATTGGAGACCCTCAGAATTTTATGGGAGTCCCCAAGATTTTCATTGGAGACCCTCAGATTTTCATTAAAGACCTCAATTTTTCATTGGAGACCCCATATTTTCGTTGGAGACCTTAATCAATTCATTGGAGACCCCATATTTTCGTTGGAGACTTCCAGATTTTCATTGGAGAACCTATATTTTCGATAGAGACCCCCAGATTATTATTGGAGATCCCCAGCTTTTTATTGAGACCCCAGATTTTCGTCGCAGACTTAAATTGAAAAGTTAGGGGTCTCCAATAAAAATCTTGGTGTCTCCAATGCAAATTGGGGATTTAAAACAAAAACAAAACAAAAAAGTGTGGGATCCCCGATCAAATTAAAATTAAATTAAATAGAAATGAATGCATATATATATATATTACATTTTGGCAATGCACATTTGTCACCATTACCTACAAAAATTAAATTTATTCCTATATACGAACTATACGAGTACATTTTATTCCTCGACCTTTGATATCCCGGGTAAGTCGTCAGTCATACGGTCCCATACCCTGTACCTGTACGCAAATAAGGATACTCTAATCGAGGGATCAAGTGTTTAACATCAAATTTAGAAACGCCTACATTGGATATCGAGAGTAGTAATCGTTCAAAAGAATCGATATTCCACACAAAAATATCAACCTCTGCCTTTCTTAACAAAACTGATGCGAGGATTTTTTAAAGATTGTATTCCTAGATTTCTATGATGTCTACAATTGATTTGGGAATATACAACGAATACAAATTTTAAAAAATCGGGAAATATTTTTATATTTAGTTGATATTTTTCGGATTCCTTCTAAAAAAACATCTATACAGAGAACAAATGTTTGTTAAATATATTCACCCCCCCCCCCACACCCTTTCCATATTCCAACTGTGTGTTTTGTGTAAGAAATATTGATCTAATGAAGGGTTGCAGAAACCAATAAACCGGAATTTTCTGAAAAATAACTTTTCTGCACTATTTGGTTTATTTTTGCATTTAGATGAATGAATTTTTTGTTAATTTTATTCTGTTTTTAGCATCGATTTGAATCAAAAAGTATCAGAAATAATTTTTTCTAAATTTTTAATTTCCCAAGAAAAAGTCTTTAGAGTAAAAGAATCGAGATGCATGCCAATACATGTCCTAAGCCCAGCTTTTCAGGACCAGCTCATCAAAAAATGGACAGATAACACTTATAGTGAGAATGCTAGGGAGGTTTTAAAAATGTAAAAATAAAAATTTTGTTTTGACAAACAATACAGCTGCTATATGTTATTGTTAATTTATAAGATGTGGCCAATTTTTTTTATCTTTAGCTAAAAAGAAACTTTTTGAAACACTGACTGGCATTTTGATCTTTCTATAGTCCTTAAGTCAAGAAGTTTCAATGAATGAGATTGCTAGAGCAAAAAACAGAGGGAGAGGGCCTAAAGCCCGATATTTATTTGACACCATACATATATGTATACAGATAAATAATATTTAAATATAGGTATAATTGTTACCCATATCCTTGTGCATCCTCCTCTCCAAATTTACTCAAACTCTCCATAATCAACTAAAATAGAAAATGTTCAAACTCTTCATAATCAACTAAAATAGAAAATGTTCAAACTCTCTATAATCAACTAAAATAGAACATTCAAACTCTCCATAATCAACTAAAAATAAAATTTCAAACTCTCCATAATCAACTTAAATAAAAATTTTCAAACTCTTCAAAGTCAATTAAAATAGAAATTTTTAAACTCTCCATACGGAGTCCATAATGAACTCCAATACAAAATATGAAACTCTCCATAATCAACTAAATTCGAAAATTGTTTACATGCACATAACCCCCCATAAAACTGTCAAAACTATCAATTCGGTCGTAAGAGTTGACA